ACAAACCATTTCAGGAAGTGACCTAAGATCAAGGACCAATGGGGATGAAGGAAAACAGTCAAGCTGCACTGAAGGCATTGGCAAAAAATAAGTCCCCAGGAACAGATAGAATACCAACTGAAATATTTCAACACAGAGATGCAGCCCTTAATATGCTTACCAGTCTATGCCATGAAATTTGGAAGACAGCCACTTGGTCAACTGACCAGAAGAGATCTGTATTTGTTCCCATTACCAAGAAAGGTGATCCAACTAAATGTGGAAATTATCAACTCATATCATTAATATTCCATTCAAGTAAAATGTTGTTGAAGACTATTACAAAACAGCTAGCGCAGTACATCAACTGAAAACTGTCAGCAATTCAGAGGAAGCTACTACACCTAGGTTATCATTGCTGAAGTCAGATGGACTTGAGTGAAAGCAGAATACCAGAACGTTTATTTGTGTATTGTTGACTATGCAAAAGCATTTAACTATGCAGATCATAACAAATTATAGCTAACATTGAGAGGCATGGGAATCCCAGAACACTTTGTGCTCATAAGAAATCTAGACCAAGAAGTTGCTATCCTAACACAGCAAGGGAACACTGCATGGTTAAAAATCAAGAAAGGTGTGCTTTTTAGGACTGTATCCTTTCTCCATTCTTATTCAATCTGCATGCTGAAGAAATCATTCAAGCTACATTATATGAAGAATGGCATTAAGACTGGAGGAAGACTCATCTGTTAATGAGTTATGCAGATGACATACACTCTTACTTGCTTAAAGTGAAGAGGATTTGAAACTGACTACAGAAAATCAAAGACTACAGCCTTCAATATAGAGTATCTCAACATCAAGAAAACAAAAATTCTCACAACTAGATCAATAAGTAACACCATGATAGATGGAGAAGGATCAAAGTCGTCAATGAGTTCATCTTACTTGGATCCACAATAAACGCCCTCAGCACGAGTAGTCAAGAAATCAAAAGGTGTAATGTATTGGGAAAATCTGCTGTCAGTGACCCTCTCTAAGGTGCTAAAGGCCAATGATGTGGTTTTAAAGACAAAGGTGCACCTGATCCAAGCAATGGACTTTTCAATTACTTGCTATGTGCCTGGAAGTTGAGCAAGGAATAAGGATGACAAATGTAGTTGTGGTATTGGAGTTGTTATTGTTGTTGTGGCTTGCCTTCAAGTCGAGCACAACTCGTAGTGACCATATGAACAAAAGGACTAAAGCCCCTCTACAAATATCTACATTCACCAAAGTTCATAGTTTCCAGAGATAAGTTGTTTAGGAAGTGGATTCCACTCCTGCTTCCAAATCTGCCATAGAATGTTATTGGTTGAGTCACCTCCGATGCATAGCGACCGTCTGTAGAACAGCTCTGAACCCTTCCCTGTCCTAAGCCAGTATCACTAATTCTGACACACCAACCCCCATCACCCCAGTCTACTATAACAATCCATCTCTCTTACGCTGTCCCTCCACCCTTCCAAGCATGATGTCCTTCTCCAAAGACCGATCTCTCCTGGCCATGTGTTCAAAGTAAGTAAGGTAGAGTTTCAAAATCCTAGCCTCCAAGGACAGACTTGTTTTCTCCCTCTCCAAGACAAACTTATTTGTTTTCTTGGCACTCCACGGTATGTTCATGATTCCTCTGCACCGCAACTCGAAGGCATCTATTCTTATTCTGGCATCCTTAGTCATTGTCCAACTTTCTGAAGCATAAACAGGTAACTGAGAAAATCATGGCCTAAATTACGCACACCTTTGTATCTATACTGACATCGTTGCTTTTCAGCACCCTGGAGAAGTCCATGACAGCAGATTTTCCCAATGCAATTCATCTTTTGATTTCCTGACTGCTGGTATTAAGAGTGTGGATTATGGCTGTAATTGCTAACAACCTCATCTCTTATCCATCTATCATGGTGCTGCCAATTGGCCCTGTGGTGAGAATCTTTGTCTTCTTGATATTAAGCTTCAATCCATATTGAAGACTACAATCTTTGACCTTTTGCAGCAAGTGCTTCAGGTCTTCTTCAGTTTCAGCAAGGTTGTATCATCTGCATATTGTAGGTTGTTAATGAGTCTCCCTTCAATCTTGATGCCATACTCCTCCTCATAAAGCCCTGCTTCCCAAATGATCTGTTCTGCATACAGATTGAAACGGTACAGGGTGGGTTTAGAAGAGGTCGTGGGACTAGGGACATTACTGCCAATGTCAGATGGATCTTAGTAGAAAGCAGAGAATACCAGAAGAATGTCTATCTGTGTTTCATTGACTATGCAAAGGCATTTGACTGTGTGGATCAAAATAAATTGTGGCTAACCTTGAGGAAAATGGGAATCTCAGAACACCTGATCATGCTTATATGAAACCTATACCTGGACCAAGAAGCAGTCCTCAGAACAAAGAAACACTGCATGGTTCAAAATCAAGAAAGTAGTGCGTCAGGGATGCATCCTGTCCCCATACCTTTTCAGTCTGTATGCAGAACAGATCATTCGGCATTACAGTACTGAATGAATAGTCTATGGACTGCCAAAAGAGCAAATATGTATATCTTAGAGAAAGTGCAATCAGTGTGCTTTGAGCCAAGGATGGTAAAACTTACATACTCTAGGAATGTTGTTAAAAGAGTTTAGTCCTTGGAAAAAGACATCATGCTTGAAAGGATGGAGGGATCAATGAAAGAGACTTAAGGCCCTCAACAAGATGGACTGATACAGTGATTATATTAATGGGCTCAAGTATATCAGAGATGATAAGGATGGCAGAGGATACAGCAAGGTTCAGATCCATGACGGCTATGACTAGTCATCAACTTAATGGCATTTAACAAAAACAATGTACATACTTTTATAACAAACCTAAGGAGCTCCAGTAGTTTACTTGGTAAAAAGTTTTGCTGCCACACTAAAGGCCCGTGGTTTGGATTCACCAGCTGCTCCATGGGAGAAAGACGGATTATTTCCTCCAATACAATTTACAGCTTCTGAAAACCCACTGGAAGGTCCATATTTGACTTGATGATAATGAACTGAATTGAAATAAATTATATATATATATATATATATATATATACACACACACACACACACACACACACACACTCTCACTCATAAGGTGCAGCAGTTAAGAACCTCAGTTGAAGATCACAGCCTTGTAAATTCTATGTGGGCAGTTCTGCCATGTCCACAGGTTACCGTGAATCCAGATCCTCTAGAAGACAATGACCCAAGAGCTCTGATGGTTCCATAGAGAAGGGATGACTGTTATCCTAGTGCTGGCTCTTTAAACCCTCCCAACAGATGGAGGGTGAGGGTGGGTTTAATGAGGAAGAGGTCTGCAGTCAGCTAGCTAAAGATCACAGACAAAAACCCTCTGGATAGTGTTAAACATAATGTATACAAAGTTTGTAAGCAAACCAATATAAAACAAAAACTATAAACAAAAACAAGCAAACAAAAAAGAGCCCTCTGGAAGCAGTTTCTTTGTCACAGTGGAATCATTATGAGTAGGAATCCACAGATAAGTACATAAAAAAACAACATTCTCCATCCAGTTATCCAACTATCATTGCTTCTATGGAAAATTAAAAATTACAGAATTAGAAAATAAGAGTTTTAGAAAAAAGAGAGTAAATGAGAGTTTCTAAAATGGGTTCACAGAACTTCAGAAAAAGTTTCAAAGAAATTCGGACAACAAAGCAAACACAGCCCACTGCCATGGAGTCGATACCTATTGGGCTTGGGAGGGATAATCTTTACAGTAGCACACCTAAGAGTACCAGGGGGATTCAAATGAGCAACCTTGGGTTTGCAATTCAACGAGTAAAGCACCACACCACCAGCTACTTACAACCCACGTTGCCACAAAAGCTTCTCTCTAAGCCTGAAGAATTACAATATTGGCAGCACTCGCCTATTCCGGACAGTAGCTGACTCAAGAAAACTCCGACTCTTAACTGGAGTACACGTCGACTCCTTCGCAGTGGGATATCAGCGATCTCTTTGAAAAGTTACATATCCTCCCCGGCGTTAACTTTAGGCGACTGCTCGCGTAGACCTGGCGTGCACCGTTTCCACAGTTTCCTTACGACGTACTGCTTGCGACGGCACCAGCTAGTCACTCCCAAATTGCCCAACAGCACACGGGCGCTGGGTCCATACAAAGAAACGCACCTTTGTCCCCCGCGCCAACGCCGGCTACAACCCCACGGGCCGCAGACATGCCCCCGCCGCGGTCCTCATGCTGGTCCCCAGGCGGCTGCGCTGGAGCGGCCGGCTCCCCAGCTGTGCCTCCCGGGGGCCGGCGGGCCACAGCCGGGGTCCATGCCGCCCGCGTCCGGGGAGCCGGGGAAGTCTCGTTTGCCTCGTGGAGGTGGAGATCCGCGGAGTGGAGTCACGGAGCGCCCAGGGAGCGTGGCGCAGGGTCCTGGGGGGCGTCTCGGGACAACTTGAGGCTCCGGACCCAGCACTCTCGGCCAGTCCAGCACCAGAGAACGCCAGACCGAGGCCTCGCGGCGGCGGCGGGCAAACACACGACCCCCCCGCGTGGGACCCGGGTTGCGGCAGCCGCTGGTTTCCAGGCCGCGCCGATCTCTGCTTAGGGAGCTCCCCGGAGCCGCCGCCTCAGACTGGAAAACAGCCCTGGGGCCCGTTCGGGGATAACGGCCGTAACGGAAACGCCTTGGGGGGAGGGAAGTCGCAATCCCTCAGGAACTGAGAGGCGGGCCGGGCCCTGAGGGCAGCCTCCTCAGTTCGTCCGGCCGCAGTTTCGCCACCGCCGCCGATGCTACCTTCGACCGCGGGCACTTCGTTGTCACGAGCCGGAGGGAGGGGGAAGAAGCCAAGAGTTTCGGGGCCGCGGCGCGCGATGAGCGCGACGCCCGCATCACGTGCCCCTCGGCAGGCCAATGATATATGGCGGGCGCGGTGATGTCAGAGCAGCAGCGTGGTCGATGACAGCCGGCCCCGATCACATGGCCCGGCACACGCCAATGGGCGGTTCCGGGCCAACCTGATGTTCCCAGAGGCCAGTGCGTCGGCGGTGGTTGGGTGTTAAGATGGCGGCCGTGAGTCTTCGGCTCGGCGACTTGGTTTGGTGAGTCCAGGCGGCGGGGACTAGCGAAATGCCTCGGGGATCTGCTGCTCAGGGCGCGGGATTTACGACCAGCCCTAGAGTTGCTTTTCTATGTGCTCCAGGCCACGGAGAACCGAGAAGGTGCTGGTGCTAGGAGAGACGTCGGGCGGAAGGGGCAGCTTGACCCCCGGAGACTGGGACTGAGAGTAGCCCCAGCGGTCCCAGGTCTGATCCTCGAGGCCACTTGGAGAAGGGCTGCACTCCAGGCCTGGCGCTGACGGTCACTGTGATTTGGGAGCCTCCAGCACCATGTGGCTTTCGCGGGCCGCCTGGTGTCGGGGGTCTTGCAGAGGTTGCTGGAAAGCCGGAGCTCCGGCGGAGCCAGCTCTCCCGGGCAGGCCTGTCAAAAGCCGCGTTGTAATGGAGCCGACCTGTGCGTGCGGTTCGGTCGGTGATGTCGAAACTGGGCCGTTTTCTTTTACGGCTGAATGCCTTGTTGGCTATCTCATGGTTCACTTTTGTGTCCCAGACAACTGCCCAATCCGAGACTATCACCATATGCGTCAAGCTTGTTCTTTGGTCTTGTGGAAGGCGTCCATTGTCATTTGTCAAAGCCAGACTGGCCTCAGGTTGAATCCAGACGGACTAGATGGTGGGAAGTCTAGTTTCTGAGGAAGCTGACCCCACCCTGGGCACTGGGTAGCTGGAGACAAGTGGCTCTTGATGCTTTTGTTATTGTTTCTTGTCACCTGAAGCGTGCTCGTCCTTTGAGTGTGTATGTAGATAATTAATATTTCCCACTTTAGGGACTTGAGGTCCTCCTGTATATGAACACCTGTTGGCTGGTAATTGTTCTAGCTCTTGAGGGTGCCAGCTGAGATTTGGGAAAAGCAGGTTGAGTGGGTTGAAGAAGATAGACTATCTCTCCCAAGGTGGTTACTGACTCTTTCCTTTCTCTAGGGGCAAGCTCGGTCGATACCCTCCCTGGCCAGGAAAGGTGAGTGTCTTGCTATTAATTAAAAGAAGCCATCCCAAACTGGGCGTAGGGGGTGAATGAGTTCTCATTAGGGTGGCCTAGTGGATAGAGAGCTTGTGCACTGCCGCCTTAAAGGTGAGTAGTAGTTTGAATCTGCCAGCTGCTTCAAGGGCGACCTATACATGATTTAAAGCCTCTGAAAACCAACTAAAAAGAGTCAGCTGTGAGTTAGTTGTGACTCATGGCACACAACAGTAGCATTCAGTGAATAAAAGCAAGCTCAAGGCAGTTACCAACTCAGTTTGTTTTCTAATCGGTATCAACTTATTTACCTAAAACATGGTAATAGAAACCATGTCTTAATTTAACTTGCAACAAAAGCTTTTTCAGGAATCAGATTTATGAAGTCTTCCCCCATCCAAATCCAACAAACTCATTATAGAACTTTTTAAACGAGACCCAGACAGAGTAATTATCCAGGAATAGAGAAATCTAAATTTGGGTAGGGTAAAAAAGAGTATTTTTGTCTCAACTAAGTTTAAATTACTCCATTGTGCCATATGTACTGTTCCAAAGCATCTTTGCAAAAGTTGGCATTCTGAATTCTGCACAAGGTGGTTCCTCACAGCATTCCAAATGTTCATTGGAGCCAAGTAATGTCTTTAGACTGTCTCCTTTGGAATAGGGTGTTTTTCAGTGCCTCTCTGCTTTCCTTCCCCTGCTTCATTTCTTGCTTCCTTAACTCTTCCTACCCAAGATGGATTTTTCAGAGTGTCATTAATATTTCTCTACTGAGGGAAATGAAACAGGATCATGCTAGGAAGAAATGATTTTGATCAATCAATCATTGAACCACATTGAAAATGAGGCCATTTCAGTGAATGAGATACTGTGCCGCCTGTTAGATATGGGAGCTTACTGGGTATTTTCATCTTTTTACATATCTCAGTAGAAAATTGCCAGGTTTAGATGTGTGCTGAGCCTTGAGTTCTCTTTGTAAGTATATATATGTGTGCACAGACACTTTTTGTTGTTGTTTTCCTTTCTTTTTTTAACCCACTTAGAGTTGTGAAAGTCTAGTGGGCTGCTTGCTGTCTTACCATTGAGAGCCCTGGTGATGTGCTGCTTAACTTTAAACCAAAAGGTTCATGGTTCAAACCCACCAGCCGCTTCTTGGAAGAAAGATGTGACAGTCTACTTCTGTAAAGTTAAAGACCCTTTGGAGCGGTTCTGCCCTTCACTGGAGGCTCACTATGAGTAAGAACAAATTTAACAGTAGTAAAGTGGCAGGACTATTACCATCAAATCTTTCTTTTTTCCCCCTCCTTCCCCAACCTCCTAGATTGTTAATCCACCCAAAGACTTGAAGAAACCACGTGGAAAGAAATGCTTCTTTGTGAAGTTTTTTGGAACAGAAGATCAGTGAGTATCCATCCTGAGGGCCCATTGGTCCTTGTTTGCAGGTTCCCATGAATCAGATGCTTGAGGGTCCTTGTTATGTCTCATTCCTGTAAAACTAGAATGCCAGACTGGTTTCATACTGTTGTTACTGCAAGGAACCCAGTGTTGTAGTGCATTATGTGTTGGGCTGCTAACCCCAACAGTGGTTTGAATCTACCAGTTGCTCTGAGGGAGAAAGATGAACAGTGCAGTGCATCATCCACCCTCATCACACACCCACTCCCACCCCCAGTAAAGAGTTGTAGCCTCAGAAACCTGATGGAAGGTTGCCATAAGTTGTAATGAACTTGACAACAAAGGATTTGGAGTTTGAACTTTTCTTGAAGCAATTCCCTGGGACTGTTGACCATTTCAGCCCAATAAGAGCTGTAATAACTGCTTTCCTGGTGTGCCTGCTACATTCAGATAGTGTCATGCATCTCTCTTTACTCACCTCTATAGATAATTCCTCCTACAAAAGTCAGGTGTATTAGTTTGCTTTATGCGTAAGGTATTCAGCTTATATTCCGTTTTTCTTCATGTAAGTTTTATTCTTCACATCGTTTAATTCTGTTCTCTTTGGCTACTTTACTCTTAGGTTGTAGCAGTAAAATTTCTTAGCCAGATCTGTCCTAAAGTTGGGGAAACCAAGACTAGTGATGTGAGATTCTTTACCTGACTCTTCAGGTAATGAGATTTGGTGGCCTAGTGGTCAGTAGCTGCACTGTGATCTCAAACACAAGCAGTTCAAATCCAACAGCTGCTCCATAAGAGAATAATGTGCTGTCTCCTCCCATGTGATTTATTATCTCAGAAAACCTCCTGTAGGGTCAGCTATGGGCCAGTTCTGAGTTGATGGCACACAACATCATCAGCAACAACCTGACTCATCAGAGCTGTTTAAGTAGCCACAGAGAAGTCTTCAGAGAAGTATGTGTGAGGCTTGTGTTTTTAGGGATTCTTCTGGTCTCGTGGCAGAGGAGTTGATTATTTGTGGAGGCATTTAGCCACACATTGAAGAGCTCCAGGGAAAAAAATGGGGTGAGTGGAGAGGAGTGAAGCCTAGGAGCTCTTGACTGGAAAAGAGGGCATTTGAATTCAGTTCAGGAGCATGGGTAGAAAATGGGTGGGAAGAATGATAAAGGATTTCTAGATAAAGGGGATCCTGTAAACAACAGGTGGATGTTAAGCTTGTTTTTTGGAGAAGGAGAGGTACCCTGCTTGCACTGTAAACTTTTCTCAGAAGTAACAGTGTGGTTGGCCCAAACTTGGTGGGCTGCATGAAGTCTAAAATGAGAACTCTTAACAGTTTCACGCCCTCTTGGAACTCTCTCTTCGAAGTTCTTTTCAACTTTCCCTATCAGTACTTGTTGACTATTGGTTTCATGCCAGTACTTAGCCTTGGATGGATTTTACCACCTGCTTTGGGTTGCAATCCCAAGCAACCTTGACTCTGGGAAGACCCAGACCCAGAATGCCGGGGGATACTACCGTCCTCACATGGACTTGGGCCACCCACAAGTGGCACATGGCAGGGGGAGAACAGTGATCCCCCATCTCTCAGGACCAACTGACCCATGTTCAACTGCTCTTCACATGGAACTCTTATCCACTTCAGGCTTCAAAGTCCTTGTTTGAATATTTGCTACTACCACCAAGACTGAGCTCTGGTGGCCAAGTGGCAAGAAGCTGCACTGCAATCCCAGAGGCATGCAGTTTGAGGCCACTAGCTGCTCTGTGAGAGAAGTGTGGACAATCTCCTCCCATGTGATTAACTGCCTCTGAAAACACACCAGAGTGACCCTATACGTCGGTTCTGACTCTAAAGTACACAACAACAATGACTACCAAGATCTGCACCTGCTGCAGCTCCACCCAGGCCCTAACCCTAGGCTCCAAGGCTCACCAAAGCGGCCCTCCTGCTTCTCACAATGCAGTGTCTGTGGTGGAAGTTCTGGGATTCTGGGGGGAAGGGAGTGGTGGGGGTCTGAGGGAAGAGGTGAGGAGTTAGTGACCTCTCTAAATTATTGAGAAGTAATGATGTCAGTTTGAGGATTAAGGTGGGTCTGATTCAGGCCATAGTCTTTCCAGTCATTTGCTATGCATCTGGGAGCTGGACAATTAATGAGGATGACAGAATAGGAAGTGATGCCTTTGAGCTGTGGAGTTGGAAAAGAGCACTGAACATCCCATGAATTGCCAGGAGAATAAACGGGGTATGTCACAGAGAGGGTGCAGCCGGAGTGCTCTTTGGTGCCAAGAATGATGAGGCTTTGCCTCACATATTTTGGGTATGTGGCTATTCTTTGGAGAAGGTCATGATGCTGGGAAGAGTGGAGGGTCAGCAAAGGAGAGGAAGACCCTCAACCAAGTAGACTGGCACAGTGATTGCTGCAGTAGGCTCTTATGTTTTGGGAAGTGTGAGGATGGTGCAGGACAGATCAAGGTTCAGATCTTTTGTTCATAGGATTGGTATGAGTTGTACTTGACTTGATGGCACCTAAGGACAACAAAATGAGAATTCCCAGAAAGGGGAACTGAGTAAGGTCACAGAGGAGCACAGGACAAATAGAAAATCCTGGAAAGCAAGAGAGTAAACTGTGACCCACACCCCACCCCATCCCCCAGTGTGTAACAAGTAATTGACTCATTAGGTGCCATGACTCATTTCCAGCTCACTGTGACCTCAGACACAACAGAACAGAACACTGAACCACCTTACAGCTGTGGCCATGTTTGGGGCCATTGTCACATCTGCAGTATCAGTCAGTCTTTCTCAGTAAAAGTCTTTCTCTTTTTAACTGGCAAAGAAACCCTGAAAAGCGAACGCTTTCATTGATTCAGGTCAGGCTCACAGAGATTACCATTAAGTTTCCAAGGTTGTAAATCTTCATGGGTGGAAACTGCTATCAGAAGCAGAAAATCAGAGTTCTGTGAATTTCCATGCTTTCCCAGATACCCAGGTGACGTTTGTGGTAAAGGACAGGCTTGCTTTCTAACTGACATGCTCATAAGCATAGTGAATGCAGTATAGTATGACCAAACATGTTAAACTCCCTCAAAATATTTCTGTGTAAAATGCTGTACAAAAATGGAGTCACCCCAGGACTAACATTATCTTTTTTATGGGTATGTAGCTAACTTGTTGTTATTATGTGCCATCCAGTCGTTTGTGACTCATAGCACTCCTGTGTACAAGAGCTCTAAATGCTATTCTATCCTGTGCCAACCTAGCCATCTCAAACACACTTATTCCCACCACTCCAGTCACAGAATCGCTTCATCTCATCGAAGGTCTTCCTCTCCTTCGCCGCCCCTCCACTCTGTCATACATATTGTCCCTCTCCAAGGACCAGTCCCTCCTTGCAACGTGCCCAAAGTATGTCAGACAAAGCTTCAGAATCCTTAACTCCAAGGAGCATTCTGGCTTTACCTTCTCCAGGACAAACCTGTTTGTTCTCCTAGCAGTCCATGGTATATTCAACACTCTTCTCCAGCACCACAGCTCAAAGGCATCAGTTCTCTTTCTGTCAACCCTATTCACTGTCCAGCTCTCTGATGCATAGCACGTAATTGCGAAGACTATAGCCCGGATCAGGCACACGTTAGTCTCCAGCCTGACGTCGTTGCTCTTCAGTACTCTTGAGAGGTCCCTCACAGCCGACTTTCCCAATGCAATTCATCTCTTGATTTCCTGGCTGCTGTTACCAAGATGTTGATTGTGGAGGCAAGCAAACTAAAACTGTTAACTATCTCAATCTCTTCATCCATACCGATGCTGCCAATTGGCCCGTTGATGAGAATCTTTGTTTTCTTGATGTTGAGCTTCAATCCATATAGGAGGCTGCAGTCCTTGACCTTCTCCAGCAAGTGCTTTAGGTCCTCCTCAGTTTCAGCAAGCAGGGTTGTGTCATCTGCTTAACGCAAGTTATTGATGACTCTTCCACCAATCTGATGCCACATTCCTCTTCGTACAGCCCAGCGTCTTGGATGATCTGTTCTGCATACAGATTGAAAAGGTATGGAGACAGAATACATCCCTGATGGATGCCCTTCTTGATTTTGAACCGTGTAGTGTCTCCTTGCTCTGTTCTGATGACTGCCTCTTGGTCAAAGTATAGGTTTCACATTAGCTCAATCAAATGTTCTGGGATTCCCATTCTTCTCAGAGTCAGCCACAGCTTGTTGGGATCCACACAGTCAAAAACCTTTGCATAGTCAATGAAGCACAGATAGACATTCTTTTGGTATTCTTTGCTTTCTGCCAAGATCCATCTAACATTAGCTATAATATCCCTAGTACCATGACCTCTTCTAAATCCAGCCTGTACATCTGGCAGTTCTCTGTTGACATATTGTTCCAAACATTTTTGGATCATTTTCAGCAGAATCTTGTTTGCATGTGATATTAATGATATTGTTCGATAATTTCCGCACTCTATTGGGTCACCTTTCTTTGGAATGGGAACAAATATCGATCTTTTCCAGTCAGTGGGCCAGCTGGCTGTTCTCCAGATTTCCTGGCACAACTTAGTGAGCACATCCAGGGCAGTGTCTGTCTGTTGAAATATGTCAATTGGTATGCTGTCAACTCCTAGAGCCTTGTTTTTGCCAATTCCTTCAGAGCAATTTAAACTTCCTCCTTCATCACCATAAGGCTCTTGCTCATATGTCATTTCATGAAATTCTTCTGTGTTAGCCAATTCCTTCTGATACAATGACTCTGTATATTCCTTCCATCATCTCTTGATACTTCGTGAATCATTTAACATTCTACCCAAAATATCCTTAAGTATTGAAAACCCTGTGTGCCGTAGAGCACACTTAGACTATCGCTTGGACTAGCAGACATGGAAATTGAGACTGAGATCTTAGAAACGGAAATACAGAGAAGAAGGAACAGCTGTAAGCAGACATTAGTGATTGGAACATGGAATGTGAGAAGCAGGAATGTAGGAAAATTGGACATTGTTAAGAAAGAA